GTCTCCATCCACATTTAATTTTTTTTTTGGTTTTTTCATATTTAAATTAATTAATGTATTATAAAAATAAATTCATTAATTTAAAAATAAATATTTTATTAAAAGAGGAATATTTACAACAAAAACCTCTTCATATTCTTTTTATTTGTTTGCCTTACTTTTAACTATTAAATGATAATATTATTTATTATTTAATATTATAAGTATTTTTCTCTTTATTATGAAATTTATTCATGAGTTATACTCATGACTTACACCTTTTTATTTTTTATATTTTAATAATATTCATAACTCCCACAATTTTTACGTCCATAACCTCTAAACTTAAATTTATTAGTTTACAATGTCTTTGTTGGGATGTATACTATTAACCATATGTTAAAAAATAATACTTAATAGAAAATAAACATTTTCTCAATTTCAATAGATCAATATTCGTTTATGGTGTCTATTTACTTATATAGTAGATGATTTAGTGTGTAGAGTTTTAGCTTATACACATAGGATTAAATCATCGGTACTTATAAGAATAAAGTTTTTCAGTTCACAATCTAGGATGGAAATTGGACATGCCATCGGGTGCAATAGTAGCACAAGATTATATGTAATTTATCCTGATTACGGGACGGTATAGTTCCAACTTCTTGTGCTTGTACATTTTGTATTTATTGGACGGGACCGAGTAGAGATAGTTGTTTTAGAGTGACAGATAAAAACATATTCTCTAAACTATTAAATATACTTATATTCTTAATCCTAATACAACTATTATGATCTGTATATAATTATCGCTTTGAATTATTAAAAGGTAAGATTCTAAGATGGGTCAATAAGCCTGGTAAGTTGGATGATAATAATATATATATTGGTGAAATAATAAGTTAGTTGATGAAATTCATGTCTCTTTATAGAGATTGATTGATATGCCTCTTCGAGAATATTATAAGTTTTCACATGTCAAATCTTGCAACTGGATTTATCAATCCGACATAGGAAATAATTTAAGTAGTGCTCTAAAGTAAATTAATCGTTAAATAAATTCATTTGTAATTTAATTTATTGATTATTCTCTGAATTCTTTAACATGTGAAATTACATAAGTGTTTAATGGGGAATTACGAAATATAAATAGAGCAGTGCAATTACGAACTTCTAGTGGTATGATTTGTAATTTATTATGCTAAGAATAATCCAAATTAATTATTTGGAATCATTTCCATAATAGAAAGTCTCGATAATCAATTATGTGGTCCCGATAGTTCCCATATTTAACTAGAACGCAAAATCCTATTTCTATGCAAAAAGGAAGAATAATATGTTTTTTTTCTAGTCTTCTAGAAAAATAAGGTTTTCTAGTCTTCTAGAAAAACAAGGTGTCACATCCGGGAAGCACCCCCTTAGACGTAACTGGCGTCGTCATCCTCTTTGAGGACTAAGATAGCCTCTTAGCTTACATCATTACATTTCATAGGTTAAAAATATGGAAAATTTAAATTTTTTATTACTTATACATTGAAGTTTACATAGACCTCTACATACGCATAATAGTTATATCGAGTATACATATGCCCTTCGTATATGAAGATTACTTAGTCTTCTGCTTTTATTGCACATAGATATATAGAATATAATAGTCTCAAATAGCCGTCTCATCTCATAGCCATCTAACAAGAGTATATCAAATTGGGCCTAGACCATATATCAATACAATAAAACCACATATAGGTCATACAATATTTAGTATCCAAATGGAAAGGAAAAAACATAAGAGTCTTAAAATCTAGAAAAACTTCATAACCTTGATATTGACATTGCCCTCGGAAAGTGAGGACCTACCCAACTTGGATGAATGTGAATTCTAAGTCTTCCTTCAAAGTCGTCTTCAAAAGCCCTTCAACGACCGAAACCTAAAATGTTGAGGAAAAAGGGAGAAATGGGGTTAGTACACCACTTGTACTAAGTATGGGACCACATTCACACATATCTTGAAATCATGTTAAGAAAAGAGACATTTCATAAAGGTATGCAGTTTACTTTGAAAGCTTTATGAACATTTAATAAGACCATACCAATCAATATGACATATTATTTAAGTCATAGACATGTACATCACAAGACCAACAACATCAAGTCTAGTCAAGTCAATATGCATATCATATAACTGAATACATAATCAAAGTAACTCTATCAACAAGTTATGGTAGCAACAAGCATGAATAAGAGTACATTTCAACATAACCAAAGCAAGACCATTACTCATGACCCTATTTAATTCCACTTGTGCAATGACTAAGCAAAGCCCCATAACCTTTCCTAATCAAGTAAACCTAGGAAGAACCATAACCAATGTCCAACTTCACATAACATAAAATTAAGAGTACAAAATATCATGCTTTAGCAATAGAAACCAAGTACATGTTCATAAGAGAATCAACATCATATAATGTCATTGACATGTGAGTTCATCATATACACATCATCTTCTTATTATCATACATATACATAAGAACATCCTTCTAAGACTCCCCTCAAGGCTAACTAGTGCAATGTTTAGGTAGAGTCCCATACCCCTATCTAGACTAAGCTAAACCCCTTAGGTCATCTTAGTTAGAGTTCAATCTTTTAGTTCATTTTACCTTTTGGGAACATCTTTCCCTAACCAACATAGACCACATGAGCTAATGTGGAATC